TGCTGGTCCGTCGCGGCGCCCTGGCAAGGCGCGCGCGGCCCCTGCTGGTATGTCGCGGCGCCCTGGCTAGGCGCTCGCGGCCCCTGCTGTCCCGTCGCCCCCCCCCCCCCCCCCCCCCCCCCTCCCTCCCCCGTGCCGCCCATTGCTCCCGTGCCGCCGTGCGTTCCGCGGTGGTGGGGGGTGTGGGTTGGCGGGCATGGGGGTGAGCGGTGTGGGTGCTACCCTTCCCCTTCTCCTCCTCCTTCTTCGTCTCCCACTGCTGCAGCTGCCGCTGAGGGGGGTGGAGGTGTGGGATCCGCGGGGAGTGGAGCTTGGGGGGTGACGTGGAAGTGAAGCTAGGGTTTCTGCAGGGGGTGTGTGTCAGGGGGGTGGGACTGTTTGGGGAGGCTGAGAGGAGGCTGCCGTCGTGTCGTCCGCAACGCTTGTATTCTGGGGCACTTGCTCCCGGTATCTCAGAGAGCCTGCTGCACCTGTCGCCCGTGGGTCCGTTGCTCCTGCCGCACGTCGCAGCCGCAGAGCCTGTTACTCCTGTATTCCGGGGCACTAGCTCCCGGTAGCCACTGAGTTGCAGAGCGCACTCCTGTTGCTCGTGTGTCTGCAGCTTCAGCCGTCGTCTCCTATCTTCTTTTCCCTTACGGTTCCTCCTCCTCACTTGCCCTTTGTGGTTGCCTCTAGCTTTGCTTATAATTGTGAACTACTGCTATGCCTGCTCATTGTGCTGATTACACCCCACTTTGGCTATGGGGGTGTGTCAGAATGTTATATTATCTAGCCTGCAGTGGGGTGCTCTATAGCGAGTACAACCCAGTTAGGGTTTGCTATATGTATCCCAACTGCTGCTAGTGAAACCCCTCTTTCTTGTTGCTAACTTTCTACTGCTACTTCTGACATGAACCGCTGGGTTCAGGTAGCGCGATGGGGGTTGGTGCCCCTGGGCTTGACGCATGTCGTTTCGTATGTCTTGTCGGCCGGACCAGTTGCTCGGATTGGTATGGCGAGGGCGAGACCGGAATTTACTTCGATCTGCCAAGTGCCCGAAGTTTCTGCAGATTTTGCAGTAAAGGCGCCACAGCCGTCGCTCTTCCGTGTTGTCCGCGTAGAAGGCGAGGCGTTCCCGATCTCGTCGCGGCGCTGGTCGCTGCTGATCCATGTCTCTCTGTTCGACGAGAAGGGCAGCGCATAGGGCGGCTTCCGAGATAACCCCCTGATGTCGGAGCAGCGCCTTGCAGGGCCGCCATTCTGGGCCGAGCCCTTGAAGCACGATGTTCATGAAGATTTCTTCGGAAATGTTGCTTCCCAATTTCGCGATTTGATCGCGTAGGCTCCGACAGCGATTAATGTAGCCGTTGGCCTTCTCCCCTGGGCCCATCTTTGTCTACAGTAGCTGCTGGAGCAGGCGGCTCGATGAAACCGAATCCTTCGGTTGGTAGACTCCATTTAGATGTCGCCAGGCGTCGAGGGCAGGAGCAGATGTTGTCTTGTACTATCGTATGCTCAGTTGTTCCGCCGGCGACATGTTCCGTAGCAGGACGCCGTACGCCATCAGCGACTCGTTGTAATATTGAGCCCTGCCATCAGTGGTGTCTTCAGCGGGTCCCGTGTAACTCCCGTCGAAATAGTGGAATATCTGTGCGTTTTGTAGCAGCAGCTCCAGCTCGAAGCTCCACGTATAGAAGTCTCTGCCGTCAAAACACACACTTGTCTTTATTTTTTATATGCTAAGGAACCTTGATTGACCAGAGATAATTGCTTCTTCGCTGGGACGGGGAGTCTTGGAAGTTGAGCCATTTTTTTCGAGAGAGAAGGTGTGCGGGGCGGTATTGTGGCCATTTGAGGCAGGTTGAGAGGGTTGGGAAGATGTTCCCGCGTCGCCATTCCGCAATGTTTGGAGTCATTGCTCCAAGCTGGTGAGTCGCTGAAGCAGTTGTGCGAGGACGGCGGTTCCAATCGTCGTCGTTTCCTCGTTTGTCGCAGCCGGGTTGGGCTGCGCTTCAGCGGTCAGATTCGTCTGACCTCCAGATCCTCCGGCCATTCTTACACATGAGCGTGTGCCGGACGCCACCTTTCGATCGCCGAAGATTTCAGAGGTGGCAGTGCGAAGGATTTTTTAGTCGCTCTCATACCATGTTGCGATCAGAAGTTGATCGTAACCAGGATCACCTCAGGAAGGTTCGCACACAACTAGGTAGTGGTGGTGGGCCCTTGACCTCAAATCAGAGTGAATGTAAAATGATTGAGATGAATTAAAACATGCAAATACAAACATATAAATAAGAGTACAAGGTGGAATACGAAACGACCTAGCTAGCCATGTACTCTAAGGGAAACCCAACCGTGCGACTCCATACGGTTACGAACTGCTAGGGAAGAATCCTCGCCACTGCTGCTGCCTGGTGCTGTCTGCCCCGACGGTCCAGATGCTCCGTAACCGTACGACCCTTCACGTCATTCCGCCTGTTCGTCTTCAGCCTCGGTACTGCATACTTCGATTGCTACTATCAGGAGTGCACAGTAACACTTCATATTTTACTATTTGTAACACAGTATAGCTTCTTTCTCTAGAAAGTAAAGTTAGTTAATGTACTAGGAAGAAGGAATAGGTGAATGTACCCATCTAGACTCATCATTTGGCTGATTCATTGAGTGTAGAGTGTTGTACGTAACGGATGCAGCACATCTGTTACGAGTGCAATTGAGTGAGCGAGCGAGAATTGCACTATCGAAGCAAAAGTACAATGAGCGAAGGTATGAGCGAAGAATATATAGCGAAACTACAGTGGTAACGGTAAAGTGGGAAATTGAGGTGCGCTACGGGCCTAGCGCCGAGGTTTGGAGAATTGTCGAGGCGGAGGTCCGGAGCGCGGGTTACCAACCGAACCGTTAGGTTGGGTCGCGTCGTGAACAGTGGCGGGAGTCGTGGTCCAGGCGAGTGTCGTGAGCGGGTAACGTGCATGGATGGGTGCTGATGGCGGGAACGATTATGTACGCGGTAAGCAGGGACGCGAAGTAAGGAAAAAGAATTTTCCTTACACTACCCCCCCTCCCCAAGGAGGCCCCTCTTACGAGAGCGCGTGTACAACTCGGAAGTTTCGGCTGCGCAGATACTCAGTGAGGACAGGGTGATTCTCAATTCTATCCAAGGGGACCCAGTTGTCTTCGGTGGGCATGCGGTCTTTCCAGCGGATCAGGAATTCGATTCTGCGGGCTCCCCGTGGGTCACGTACACGATGGCTCAGTATTTTCTCAGGCGTGATGATTGGCTCAGTCGGCGGTCGTGTCATGCTGGCGGGGCGGTTGCGCGGCAGTTGGCTGGTGGATGGCACGTATGGGCGAAGCAGGCTGACGTGGAATGACGGGCTGACGTACCAGTCAGCAGGGAGGAGGAGATGGGCGGTGACAGGTGTGATCATGTGGCTGATGCGAAATGGCCCGCAATATCGGGGGCGGAGTTTTGGGGTGATGGGTAGGCGGAGGTTTTGAGTGTCGAGTAGAACTAGGTCGTCTGGTTGGTAAGTGACAGGTCGGCGGTGGCGGTCAGCGTTGCGTTTAGCGATGATGTTTGATTTTTTTATTGCTTCGGCTGCTCGGGTCCGTGCTGCTTGCAGTATTTCTGCGAACTGTTGCGCGCGTGGGACTGGGTTGTCGGGATTCGGGGTCATGGGTACTGTGGGGTCTTGTCCGTAGTTCAGGTAAAACGGTGGCTGTTGGGTCGTGGCGGATGGCGAGTTGTTGTATGCGAATTCGATGAGTGGCAGTTGCTGTTCCCACGTGGTCGGGTCGTCGCACGTGGCCCGGATGAGCTGTTCCATGGTCTGATTTGTCCGTTCTGTCTGTCCGTCGGTTTCGGGGTGGTATGATGAACTGAACTGCAGTCGCGTGCCGAACTGCTGCCACAGGTTCCGCCAGAAGTTGCTGGTGAATTTCGTGTCGCGGTCGCTGATGATCACTGCTGGTATCTGTGAAGAAATGAGGAATGGATTGACTAAGGGAAAGTTGGGTACAAAAGCAAACCCTAGAAAACTGTACCCCATATGTGCTACCCCACTATAGCCTACAGTAGCTATGTCATATAAATCTGACACACCCCCATAGGCAAAGTGGGGGAGAACAAGGGGTCACAAGACCAGTCAAGCAAAGCAAAGCAAGCTGAGGGTGGATCACAAAGTCACCACACATTCCGAGCACAAGTTCAAGGCCACAAGGCCAGTTCACATGCAGGATTACATATGTATATAAGGCTAGACAAGCAAGAGCAGGTGTATATATATATGCAACAGTACAAACAAGGTCAAGGGGTGAGCAAGTGAGGCAAGGTAGGCACAAGATCCAGCTGAGTACAGAAGCGCTGATGATCACAAGGCGCAAGTGCCTTGGTGAAGATATCAGCAGTGTTGGCCTCAGAGGCCACGTACGCAAGCCGTAGCTGACCACGCTGCTGTAGCTCACGAGCAAGGAAGTAGCGGAGAGCAATGTGCTTCGTTCTGTGCTCCAGTCTCTGCTCTCGACACAAGGCCAGCATGGCCTTGTTGTCTACGTACAGCACTGGAGGAGAACGAGGCGGCTCTCCGAGGTCAGTCAGCAGGTAGGTGAGCCAGCGAAGCTCCTGTGCAGCCATGGCCCCGGCGTAGATCTCAGCCTCACAACTGGAGCCGAGAACAGAAGACGAGCGGGTAGCCCGCCACGAAACAGAGCCGGAACCAAGGCTGAAGGTGTAACCCTGTGACGACCGCTGCGTAGCCTGGTCGTCAGCCCAAGAAGCGTCTGCGTGCCCAGTGAGGACCACTGGACTCTGCCCTCCAAGCACAAGCCCCATGCCCGACGTACTGCACAAGTAGCGCAACACCCTCTTCGCTGCAGCCATGTGCTCCGGTCTGTGTCTCCCAGGAGCAACATAGCGTGCGAGAATGCTAAGAGGGTATGCAAGGTCAGGTCGTGTGCAGGTCATCAGGTACATGAGGCAGCCAACAAGCTCTGGGTACGGGCCACTCGACTCTACGGACTCATCCGAAGGCAGAGCTGAGAGCGAGTGGCGAGTAGGCAGAGGAGTGGCCTGAGGCGAGGAGTACGTGAAGCCGAAGCGCTGAAGGACCTGCTGCACCATGTGTGACTGAGTCAGGGTAATGGTGCGGCGTGCTCTGTCCCGGGTGATCTGCAAGCCAAGGTAGCTGCGCAGTTCACCCAGGTCTGTGCACGTGTGTCTCTTCTGCAGCTCGGACTTCACGTGGGCGAGTCCAGCAGTGTCAGCTGTGGCGAAGACCAAGTCGTCGACGTACACGAGGATGTAGAACGGCGGCAAAGAAGTGTCGGTGCGCAGAAACAGCGACGGGTCGGCAGTAGAGGGAGCAAACCCAAGAGCCGCAAGTGTAGTCCTCAGTGTGTCGTGCCACTCACGCGGTGCCTGGCGGAGACCGTAGACTGGCCGCCGGAGGCTCCACTGGGTGCCAGGAGGAAAAGACCCAGTGAAGCCAGGTGGGCGACGCAGCCAGATCTCCTCGTGCAGGCTGCCCTGCAAGAAAGCAGTGCTGAAGTCAAGAGAGTGCAGCTCGTAGTCGCGGTGAGCAGCTATGTGCAGCAGTACCCGAAGAGTGGTCATCTTCGGGGTGGGAGAGAAGGTCTGAAAGTAGTCAACTCCCTGCCGCTGACTGAAGCCACGAGCCACGTAACGCGCCTTGAAGACAGGCGGAGAACCCGGCGGCCGCTTCACCCTGAAAATCCACATGCCACTGACGATGTTCGCCCCAGGCGGGGGAACCTCGTCAACGTAGGTGCCTGTGGACTTCCAGGAAGCCATCTCTGCGTCCATAGCTGCCTGCCACTGAGAGGAGTAGGGACCCTCTATCGCCTCCGCGTAAGAGCGCGGAGTCGGGATGTCAAGTGCATCCGGGTCTCCCTCAGGGGTAAGCAGTACGGACACGAGATGAGGTGAAGCAGCAGCCAAACACTGGAACTCCTCCTGCCTGTCCTCAAGGACGTCCGTGCCAAGGGCACACTCACCCCCGACGGACGGAGGACAGACAGACTCAGACTCAGCAACAAGACTAGCAGCGTAGTCTAGACGACAGCGAGCAGCAAAGTCGACGAGCTCAGTAACTAGGGCAGACGCAGCAGTGGACTCAAAGGAAGGGTCAGTGACAACAGTAGCAAGGAGACGCGTGACAGTAGGACTGGCAGCACGAAGAGAGTCCGACTCCGGGTCAGGAAGAGCAGGAAGAGAGGACTCAGGAGGAGAAGGCAAAGGGGCACGCAGAGGAGCAGTGGACGGACGCAGAGACATCCGGTGCGTGCCAGGGACAGGAGGAGGACGCTGACGCGAACCACGACCACTAGGGCGAGCAGCACGGACAAGCGACGCAGGGCGAGACGCAGGCTCACGACGCTCAGCAAGACCTCCAGTAGGACCAGTGTAGGGAGAAGGAGCGGGCAGTGGGGAGGCCGGCTGTAACTGTAACTGTGACGGGACAGGCTGTGGACACTCGAAGGGAGGAGGAGGACCAGTAGAAGGCGGGAGACCAAGAACCTGCTGAAAGAGCGGAACGAAGTACGGCCTAGGCCGCGCGGCGACTCCAGACACAGCAGGGACAGCACGAGGACCCCCAGCGGCAGCACCAGCGCCAGCAGCACCTCCAGCTCCAGGACCTCCAGCAGCACCAGTAGCACCCCCAGCAGGACCGCCTCCAGGACCGGCAGCAGTAGCCTCAGCGCCAACACCCTCAGCAGCTCCAGCTCCAGTCGTACCCGCAGGCCCAGCAGCTCCAGTACTCCCAGGACGAGCACCTCCGGGACCCGCGGCACCAGCACCCTCAGCAGCCGAAGAACCTCCAGCTCCAGCAGCACGCCTCCAGCGCCGGGCAAACCACTCGCGCAGCTCCTGTGGAGAGAGTGGCTCCCGCCGAGACGAAGCACCCGGAGAACCTCCAGGCTCAGCACCGCCAGACGCCACACGAGCAGGCCCAGCTCCCTCAGGCTCCGCACCCCCAAGCTCAGCACCTCCAGGCGTGGCACCCCCAGGCTCAGCACCCCCAGGCGTAGCACCCCCAGGCTCAGCACCCCCAGGCTCAGCACCCCCAGTAGTAGCACCCCCAGGCTCAGCACCCCCAGGCTCAGGACCCCCAGTAGTAGCACCCTCAGGCTCAGCACCCCCAGGCGTAGCACCCACACGCTCAGCACCCCCAGAGTCAGCACCCCCAGGCTCAGCACCCTCAGCAGCACCAGAGTCACCAGTAACCTCGACAGGCTCGACTGCGTCTACCTGGGACACACCTGAAGGGGCAGGACCCTGAGGGGGGAGGGGGTCTACCGGGGGGGGACCTGGTACAAGGAAGAGCGGTGGCGGGGGGAGGGACGGAGTGCGGTAGGGGAAGAGGCGGTAGTAGGGGACCGACTCGTCAAACGTGACGTCCTGGGAGGACAGAACACGGCGAGAGGTGGGGTGGTAGAACTGCCACCCTGGCGCGTCAGGGGGGAAGCCAAGGAAGACGCAAGGAGCAGCACGAGGGGACAGCTTGTCCGCAGACAAGTCGCGGACAAACGCCCGAGATCCCCAGACACGGAACGCAGACGCATCGCCAACCTTCCCCGTCCACAGCAAGGCTGGGGAGGTCTCCGGCATGGAGACCCTGGGGTGAAGGTTGATCTGATGCGCCGCGTACCGAACCGCAAACGGCCACAGAAAATGGGGGGCAGCCGCATGCATCATGGACGTACGGGCGACGTCCATGACCATGCCAATGCGGCGCTCAGCAATCCCATTTTGCTGTGGAGAGTCCGGAAGCGTGAAGGTCTGGCGGATGCCTCGTGCACGACAGTAGGCTCGCAGAAGGCCAGAGGAGAACTCTCCACCTCTGTCAGAGTGCAGACGCAGAACAGGAAAGTCCGAGCCGAAGCTCTGCCTGAGCTGGAGACGAGCTGCGCGGATCCAGTCGATCAACACCTCAGTGACATCACCCTTGCTGCGCAAGGGGAAGACTGTGGTGTAACGCGAGTAGTCGTCAACCACCAGCAGGAAGTAGCGCTCGTGACCCTGTCCACGGACGCGGGCCGGGCCCCACACGTCCATGTGAAGCGTCTGCAGCGGGGCCTCTGTCGGAGGAAACTGGGAGGAGTGAGGGGCAGCCCGCTGCCGCCCCTCGACACAGGGGACGCAGGTAGGGCCAGGCCCCGGAGGAAGGGGAGGGAGGGACCGGGGAAGACCAGAGACAAGGACACGGGAGGCCATGCCTCGGAGACGAAGCAGGGAGGGGTGACCAAGGCGGTGGTGCCAGAGGAGAGTCTCGTGAGACAGGAGGCGACACGAACAGGGGGCAGACTCAGGACCAGACCTGGACGCTGCAGCAAGCACCTGACCCGACGCAGCTACCTGACCAGACGCAGTGACTGGAGGAGACGCAGTGGTCAGTGTGTACAGGCTCGACCCCGGCCGACGTGTAAACGTGGCCAGGTGTCGGCCTGTCCGAGCGTCCGTGCAGTGGGTCACCCGCTGACTCGCAGGAGTGAACTGGTGAACCCCCGCATCCTGTAGGTCAGCACCACTCACCAAGTTCGTAGAGAACGAGGGGAGGTAAAGACCAGACAGGGTGCCAGAGGGGGCCGCCGGACACGGGAGGACAGTGGAGAAGTGAGCAAGGACAGGACCCCCAGAGGGGTCTGCCAGGGAGACCGCAACCGGCCGACTGAGCGGCGTAAGCGTGGTGCGGTCTCGAAAGAAGGAGCGGGAAGCACCCGAGTCAAGAGTGAAGGTGTGTAAGGCCTGAGACGACGTGGTACCTGAGAGAGCAGACTCACCAGCACCTGGGGCAGCAGACGCACTAGCACCTAGAGCAGCAGCCTCACCAGCACCTAGAGCAGCAGCCTCAATGCCCGGGTCAGGCGGAACACACAGGTAACAGTCACCCTCATCACTAGTAGGCAATGCATACATGGCAGTGAGGATAGCATCATAGTCAAGAGTATAGATATCTACCCGCAGCCGAAGCAGCTCCACCCAGTCGGGGAGCTCAGCCGCGTCGCCAAACTCCGTACGCCAGGCGTCGCTCAGACGGGCGAAGCAGCGGGACTCTGCGTGACCCAACGTCCCGCAAGGCTGACCAGTCCGAGCACCAGTGCGAATGACGTACGGACAGCGAGCAGTACCCCGTGACCCGTCACGCTGAGCGTACCACTCACGAAGCTGCTGTGGCGAAAGGACTGCTCGCGGACGACGCTGAAGCTGCACCTGGCCACTACAAGCAGCTGCCGAACTACTCACTCCAGGACGACTCCCACTACGGCCACCCCGACAACCCCAACTAGCGTACCACTCACGAAGCTGTTGGGGGGTGAGGGACTCACGCGGGCGACGCTGCAGCTGCACCTGGCCACTACAAGTAGCTGTGGAACTACTCACTCCAGGACGACTCCCACTACGGCCACCCCGACAACCCCAACTAGCGTACCACGCACGAAGCTGTTGGGGGGTGAGGGACTCACGCGGGCGACGCTGGAGCTGCATCTGGCCACGCCAGGAGCAGCAGTAGCAGTAGAAAGAGCAGCAGCAGTAAGAGCAGCAGTAACAGCACTACGGGCAGGGCAGTGCTCACCAGTGGCGAGAAGGGCAGGCGTACGACGGCGGCAACGGCGAGGCCGCTACCACTGTAGAGCGAGAGCTCCGCGGCAGCTGCAGGGGTGGCTGCTCCAGGTGCGGCAGTTGTAGGGGCGACTGCTCCAGAGGCGGCTGCTCCAGGGGCGGCTGCTGCAGTGGCGGCTGCTCCGGGGGCGGCTGCTGCAGTGGCGGCTGCTCCGGGGGCGGCTGCTGCAGTGGCGGCTGCTCCGGGGGCGGCTGCTGCAGTGGCGGCTGCTCCAGGGGCGGCTCGGCTGCTGGGCGACTCGGCGGCTCAGCTGCTGGGCGGCTCGGCGGCTCGGCTGCTCGCTAGGGGCGGCGACGGGGCCGGGTAGGGGCAGCGACGGGGCCGCTAGGGGCGGGGAGCGGCGACGGGGCCGCTAGGGGCGGCGACTGGGCCGCGTAGGGGCGGCTACGAGGCCGCGTAGGGGCGGCGACGGGGCCGCGTAGGGAGGGAAGCGGCGACGGGGCCGCTAGGGGCGGCGACGGGGCCGCGTAGGGGCGGCTACGAGGCCGCGTAGGGGCGGCGACGGGGCCGTGTAGGGAGGGAGGCGGCGACGGGGCCGCTAGGGGCGGCGACGGGGCCGCGTAGGGGCGGCGACAGGGCCGCGTAGGGAGGGGAGCGGCGACGGGGCCGCTAGGGGCGGCGACGGGGCCGCGTAAGGGCGGCGACGGGGCCGCGTAGGGGCGGCTACGGGGCCGCGTAGGGAGGGGAGCGGCGACGGGGCCGCTAGGGGCGGCGACGGGGCCGCTAGGGGCGGCAACGGGGCCGCGTAGGGGCGGCGACGGGGCCGCGTAGGGGCGGCGACGGGGCCGCTAGGGGCGGCGACGGGGCCGCGTAGGGGCGGCAACGGGGCCGCGTAGGGAGGGAGGCGGCAACGGGGCCGCTAAGGGCGGCGACAGGGCCGCTAGGGGCGGCTACGGGGCCGCGTAGGGGCGGCAATGGGGCCGCTAGGGGCCGCAAGGGGCCTGGAAGGGCGGCAACGGGGCCGCTAGGGGCGGCGACGGGGCCGCTAAGGGTGGCGCGAGGGGCCGTGAGAGGGGCCTCTACCCCACTATAGCCTACAGTAGCTATGTCATATAAATCTGACAGTATCCCGTGTAATCGAACGATGGTGGCGATGAAGAGGCGAGCTGTTTCTTCGGCTGTGATTGATTTCTTGCATGCTGCGAAGTGTGCCATTTTCGTCAGTCGATCGACGACGACCAAGATCGCGTCGTTCCCACTTGCTCCAGCCGGTAACCCCGTGACGAAGTCCATCGTCACCTGCTGCCAAGCACGCTCTGGGGGTGGTATCGGCTGCAACTGTCCTGCCGGTCGTTGTCGTGACGACTTCATGAGCTGACAGGTGGGACACGATGCCACGTGTCGTTGCACGTCGGTCAGCATCTCGGGCCAATAGTAATACCGCTGCAGCTGCTGCCGTGTTTTCTCTACCCCGAAATGTCCCGAGGTAACTCCGTCGTGTGCCTCCTGTAACAGTAATTCCCGTAGCAGTGTGTACCCTGGTACCCAGATGCGGTCGGTCCCGGCTTTTACGTAATAGACTCCCTTGGCTGCTGCGAACTGCTGCGAATTTCCTCCTGTGAAGAATGGGTCCGTTTGGTACCCGTGGGTAAATAGTCCTGTCAGTAACGGGCTGGTCTGGGCGAGTAGTATCGCGTGGATTTGGGCAGTGGGGCGGGTCAGTGCGTCAGCGATGTTGGATGGTCCCTTTTTGTAGGTGACCGTGTAGTGGAAGTTTGACTCGAGCAAATCGAGCCAGCGGATCTGTCGTGGGTTGAGGTGGGGCTGTGCGCGGAGGTACTGTAGGGATCGGTGGTCTGTCCGTACTGTCACGTCTGCGCCAGTCAAGTAACAGCGCCAGACCTTGAACGCATGCACGATTGCGAGCATTTCGCGGTCGTGTATCGGGTAATTTTTCTCGGGCGGATGCAGCTTTCGTGACTCGTAGGCGATGGGCTGTAGGCCGTTGCCGAAATCCTGTAGCAGTACGGCTCCAATGGCGATGTCGCTTGCGTCGGTTACGACTTCGAAGGGGCGGTGTGGGTCAGCGATGCGCAGTACGGGCGGTGAACAGAGAACATGTTTCAGGGCAGAGAAGGCAGCATGCTCTTTCTCCCCCCACGTAAAAGTGACCCCCTTCCGCAGTAAATCTGTCAGTGGGGCAGTTAATCGTGCCATATCGGGGACGAACCGACGCACATAATTAACGAACCCTAAAAAACTCTGCAGCTCCGTGATGTTCGTCGGGGGGTGCCACGCTTTTACCGTGTCCAGCTTCTTTGGGTCGATTTCAACTCCAGCCTCCGAAATAACGTGCCCCAAAAATTCTAACCTATCTTGGAAGAACTCGCACTTGGAACCCTTGGTCAGTAATCTGTGCTCGTCTAAAACCTTAAATACTGCTTCCAGATCTGCTAAGTGCTGCTGCTTATCCCGAGTGTAAACTAGGATGTCGTCGAGGTAAACTATCACGCATTTATCTAAGAGCGGCCTAAACGCCTCGTTCATGGTCATCTGAAAAGTCGCCGGTGCGTTGGTCAGCCCGAATGGCATCACGGTGTACTCGAATGACCCATACCTAGTTCTACATGCTGTTTTTACGCAGTCCGATGGTTCGACCCGAATCCGGTGGTAACCTCCGCGTAAGTCAATTTTCGAAAAGACCCGTGCTGTTCGCAGTTGATCTATCAGTTCGTCGGCGCGGGGAATGGGGTATCGCGACTTGACTGTTACCCTGTTCAGTGCTCTGTAGTCGATACACATGCGAAAACCCCCGTCTTTTTTCGGTGTGAACAGTATCGGTGCGGCGAACGGTGACGAGCTCGGTCGGATGAATTTTTTCTCTAACAGGTAATCTAACTGCTTCCTCAGTTCGTCGAGCTCTGGCTGTGTCAGTCGGAATTGTCGCTGTACAGTTGGCTGTGCCCCCGGTTCTAACTCTATGTGTCAAAATCGAGAGAAGTGATTCAACTAGGAAAGTTGGGAGTACAAGTATGAAACCCTAGAGATTGTACCCTCTAAGGCTAAACCCACTACAGCCTACAGAACACAAACATATACAATGTTTGACACACCCCCATAGGCAAAGTGGGAGACAACCAGATGGTCACAAGAC